ACTGTAGTGAATTCTTCCTTTTTGTTTTTTTTGAGTCAGAGTCTTATTCTGTCACCCAGACTGGAGTGCAATGGCATGCTCATCGCCACCACAACTTCCACCTGCTGTGCTCAGGTGATCCTTCTCCCTCAGCCTTCCAAGCATCTTCCTCAACCTTCCATGTGCCACCATGCCCAACTAATTGTTTAGATTTATTGCAGAGATGAAGTCTTGCCATGTTGCTAAGGCTGGTATCGAGTTCCTGAGCTCAGGCAATCCTCTTGCCTCCACCTCCCAAGTGCTAGGATGGCAGACTTGACCCACCGCACTCGACTTCTTCCTCTTTAATTTGAGTTTACTGGAATAAAAATATGTGAGTGTAAAGCTAAAGGGAGCTCACAAAGTGATTTCCTCCCCAAGCTCTCACTCTCCCAGGGAGGGTGACTCAGTCTCAAACCCTTGGCTCTTGTTGTTTCCTGGCTGTTCACAGAGAGAAGCTGGCTGCGTATTTTCTCCTGCTTCTTCTGCAGCCAGCTCTGCAGTGAACCCTGAGGGGTCTGGGCCCAGCTTATTCTCCCCATCAGTCTCCACTAGCCTGTCTCCCACCAATGACCCCAGAACAAAGGCAGGCTTTGTGTCCTCCAACTAAACTAGTTTTGCCAACGTTGCTGGCAGAGGAGTTTCCGTCTGCTGAAGGAGCAAGTCTTGACCTGCAGAGTCCTCTCTCTCAGAGATGGGATGAAACAACATTGGAAGGGTAATCAAAGAGCTGCCAAAGTCTCTGAGCCAGGGCTGACTCTGGGGCAGGGGCGTCCTCCCAGCCTGAGTGGTCTGTCTCTTCTTCGATGACTCAGTTCCCAGGCTGCATAGAAAACCATCTTTCCTCACTCAAAGGAACTCAATGCTGAGTCGTTTGGCTGTTGTTAGGCAACAGTGCAGAGTTTAATCAATTTGTGATTAAACTTTTATGTCAATAAAAGGGCTGAATAAGAGAACAGTTATCTTTTGACTTACTCTAGGAACCAGATTGCATGTTAAAATTAACAGTGCTCAGAAACTTTATCACGATCACTAATACTATATGCTACAGTGCTAATTATTTCAGAGCTAACTTTTGCGTGCTTTTACATTGCCTGGTCCTTACCTGTCCTTACTGACTGACTCTCTGTGAGTTTTATAAACCCAATATGATTCTAAGTGCCTTGAATGAAGAGTTCCGCTGCTTGGGTCCCCTGAGGTCAGTAATGCCTAGGGTAGGACCAGGTGCTTGGGTTGTTCAGTATTTCTCCACTATCCTTCAGCACAGCTAAAGAGCAAGCTCGGCCTCAAAGCAGGAAGAGAAAGGAACATTTTCCTCTCATGTCTGAAGATATCTTTTGTAAACAGGCTGCTCACATCTCCAGAGCATGATAAAGACCAGATGCAGGCAGGGATCTGGACATGTCTTATCTGGGTAGAAAACAGAATTTAAGGTAATAAATATCTTGGGATGTGATAAAATCCAGAAGCCTCTTCCTGGGCCATAAGTATGTTTTTCTTTTTTAAACAAACCTAGTAGTAGTATGTGACCTTATCAGAGAGATTTATGTTCAGTTGAAAACCAAGTTATTTTGAGCTGAGCAAAATGAAGACTTTTATCAGCAGATGACTCTACAAATTTTTCAGGGACAGTGGTTTTCAGAGGTGGCAGGGTTGAAGAGAAATCTTTTATGATATCATATGGTAAATAGACTCTTCACAGTGCCCAGTACATATAGGTGCCCAGCACCTATAGGTACCCAGCAAATGTTTGCTTTTCAAAATGTATGTACTTAGCTGGGTGCGGTGGCTCACTCTTGTAATCCCAGCACTTTGGGAGGTTGAGGCGAGAGGTTTGCCTGAGCCCAGGGGTTCGAGACCAGTATAGGCAACATAGCGAGACCTCGTCTCTACAATAAATCAGAGAATTAGCTGGGCGTGATGGTGCACGTCTGTGGTTCCAGCTACTTGGAAGGCTGAGGTGAAAGGATTGCCTGAGCCCGGCAGGTTAAGGCTGTGGTGGCTATGAGTGTGGTTGAGGCTGGATGACAAAGTGAGACTCTGACTCCAAAAAAAAAAATTGTGACCAGGTGTGGTGGCTCATGCCTGTAATCCCAGCACTTTGGGAGGTGGAGGCGAGAGGATTGCCTGAGCTCAAGGTTTTGAGATCAGCCTGAGCAACATGGTGAGACCTCGTCTCTATAATAAATAAAAAAAATTAGCTGGGTGTGGTGGTGCATGCCTGTGGTTCCAAGTACTTGGAAGGCTGAGGCAGAAGGATCACCTGAGCCCAGCAGGTATAGGCTGCAGTTTCCATGAGCATGCCACTGCACTCCAGCTTGGGTGACAGAATGAGATTTTGACTAAAAAAAAAATTATGTACCTATTTATTTATTTTTGACAGGGTCTCACTGTCCCTAGGCTGGAGTGCAGTTGCACTGTCATAGCTCACTGTAGCCTCGAACGCCTAAGCTCAAGTAATCCTCCCATCTCAGCCTCCCAAAGTGCTGGGATTACCGGCCTGAGCTACTGTGCCCGGCCTACAGTTTATTTAGCAAACACTTATACTGCACATAGACTATGCTAGCAGGATTCTAAGTGCTTTACAACTATTTATACTCATGCCCCTTTTCTTCCTGCCTTGATGCTGAGGGTGCTATTTAACTGTGACTGCGGAGTAATTAAGACATAGCGAGCACAGCATTGTTCACAGTAGTAAGAACATGGGACCAATCGTGTTGCCCATCAAAAGAGGATTGGGTAAAACAAATGTGGTACATATACACGATGGACTATTACATAGCCATAAAGAAGGACAAAAATCATAAAATTCATAGCAATCTGGATGGATTTAGAGTCTACAATACTTAGTAATCTTTCACAGAAACAAAGAACTGAGTATCACATGTTCTCACTCACAAGTGGACCTTGAACAATTATTGTAATACTATAAGAAAAGAATTGGTTTAGCCGGGTGTGGTAGCGCACGCCTGTAGTTCCGGCTACTTGGAAAGCTGAGGCAGAAAGATCACCGGAGCCCAGCAGGCCGAGACTGTGGTGGCCGGGAGCGTGCCACTGCCCTCCAGTCTGAGCGACAGAGTGAGACTCTGACTCAAAAAAAAGAAAAAGAGAAAAGGATTGACCGTAGCAGGAAACTGCCGGGTGGGGGGTGGGGTATTGAGATGGGATTGGTAGTAGTGGGACTCTGTTGGGGGAGGGGGGCACACCTCATCAACAAGTGTACCTGCATAATGAACATTTGTATACCTAACCCTGAATTGTATCCCACATCTTTAAAATAAAAAAATTAAAAGAAAAGAAATAGCGAGCAGTTAGCATGCCTAGCATAGCCCCGGGCACTCCTGAACCCTCTGGTTGGGATGACTATGTCCCTGAATTAATTTCAAACCCTGAGAAATTCAGGCCCTGCTCCTATCACTACCTCATCACTCTCTCACAACATCTTGGGGTGCCTCCTTTCTAGGACTTGTGTACCCTCCTGTCCTCCTGCTATTAGGCAGAACCAGATGAAAGTGCAAGTGCTGATCTTTGTCACTGATGTTTTGATTGCTTTTTAATTTCTAAAAAAAATGACAATTTCATGCAATCAAACTTAATATCTCTATGTCTTAAAAGGAAGACACTGGCCGGGTGCAGTGGCTCAAGTCTGTAATCCCAGCACTTTGGGAGGCAGAGGTGGGAGGATTGCTTGAGAGCAGGAGTTTGAGACCAGCCTGGTTCATGAAGCTAGACTCTGTCCCTACAAAAAAATACAAAAGTGGTGGCGTGCACCTGTAGTCCCAGCTACTCAGGAGGCTGAAGCAGGAGGATCATGGGAGGATAGTTTGAGCCCAGGAGTTTGAGGCTGCAGTAAGCCAGAGTAAGAACTTGTCTCTGTAAATAAATAAGTAAATAGGGGAAATGGATGCTTGAGGTTAAGTAACCTGCTCCGATGCCTCAGGAGTAGTCAACAGCAGGATGTAGATTCAAATTCCAGTTTGCCTCTTTCTGAACCTCTTAACATGCTACTTTTAACCACTTATTAAGAACATGGGATGAGGAAGAAGCTGTTAGGGTTTGAGCATCAGCTCATCCACTTGGTAACCCTGATTTTTTTTTTTTGAGTCAGAGTTTTACTCTGTCACCCTGGAGGCCGGCGAGGAAACCCCCTGTTCCGTCCTGAAGCCGCTCCAGGTTGAAGTCATTTGGCGCCCATGTGTTGTTTGGGGCCCTTCTTTCATTCCGGTGAGCACAGTCTGCTCAGTTCCCCTTAGAGTGGTCTAGAAGTCACACAAACCCCTAACCCTCAGAGCCACCAGCCCCGGGCGGGTCCCCGGCACACGCCGGGCTCGGCTGCCCACCGCCCGCGCGGCCCCTTTAAGGGCGGTCGGCGGCCACGTGCCCCGTGACGTCGGAGCAGGAAGTGTTTGAGGAAGTCGCGCGAGGCCGCCTGTTGCGGGGGTCCCGCGTTTTCATGTCCTCAGGGGGCGTCTGGGCTCCTGTCTGCCCGCCCCGCCTTGCAGACAGGTGAGTCCCGCGGGCGTCCCCTGCCTCCCCCCGAGGCCCTGCGGACGCTTCCGTGGGGCCTGGGGTCGGGGTTTCCGGGTCACTAGCGCGGTTGGAGCTGGGAAGCGCGGGGGCAGACGGGGCGGGCGCTCCTGGCGGCTGGGTGGAAGGGGGGGCCTCGGGAGAGACACTTGACCGCGGAGGCAGTGTGGACACCTGTGACTCCTGCAACACTGTAGACACCCGTGCACGTGGGGAGACTCGGGAGTGGGCTGGGCTCTCCCTGCCGCCTGGGGGTGGCGTAGGCCAAGGCGCCCCTGCTAGGGTTGGGGGGCGGATCCCTGCTGGCATGGGTATCCCCCCGCCTTGGACGACTTTCTTCCCTGCTTGCTGCCGCAGCACCGAGGTGGGAGTGGTGAGAGGGACCAAAGTTTGCCACGATGTTTGGACAAACCATACCGACTGACTTATTTACAGAATAAAAACCCCTTGTTTTCTCTTCGCTCCCAATCGGGAGCAGCAGTGTCTGGTACTTTCGCCATCCCTTTGAGCTCGTTTTCTTAACCCTAACCTGTTTTCCCCCATCCCAACTTGCTTGCAGGTTAGAACGGCATCAGGATGAGCTGGTCACCTTCCCTGCCAACCCAGACTTGTGGGGCTTGGGAAATGAAAGAGCGACTTGGGACAGGGGGATTTGGAAATGTGGTCCGATGGCACAATCAGGTAGGGGCTCTGTGTAGCCTGGGGAGAAGCACCTCACTCCTCCACCCGCTGACACTGCTGGACCCAGGGACTGGCCTTTGGTTTTGCTGGTCTTAGGAGAAAGTGAGAATGGGGATTGGGAACAGGGATTCAGGACTGCCAAGGTGGCCCTCTGGTTAGTTGTCTGCAAGCTTTATTAACTAACTATGCTACCTAAATCAGTAGTTTAAAAAAAAGTTAAGCTTTCAGCTCCAATTTGTGCTAATGTATTGTGTATTGATGTTACATATTATAAAACATGGAAAAATAGGAAAAAATTAAAAGATGAGAATAGTGAAACATTTAAAAATATTTTAAAAATTAATTATTTAAAATTAATTGACTTATCTCTTGAGTCAAGTCTCACTCTGTTGCCCAGACTGGAGTGCAGTGGCACAATTGTGGCTCACCCCATCTGCAACCTTTTGGGCTCAGGCGATCTTTCTGCCTGAGCCTCCCGAGTAGCTGGGACTACAGGTGCACACCACCATGCCCAACTAACTTTTGTATCGCTTTGTAGAGATGAGGTCTCGTTAGGTATCAAACTCCTGGACTCAAACAATCATCTTGCTTCGGCTTCCCAAAGTGCTAGGATTATAGGTGTGAGCCACCTATAATTTTAAATATTTTTGCTGGTCATGATGCCATCCCAATATTGTTTGCAACTCCACACAGCACAAAATACACAGGCCCAGATGAAAGATAATTATTGTAAGGATGATGGTAAAAATTAGTATTTCAAATAATTCTTACCAATTCAGATGATTTGGACTGATTTCTTCTTCCATCTGACTAGATCTTCTCATTGTTTTTACACTGCTTGTGTCTGACATGAGCTCATAGAAGTGTCCGTTCTCCCATGTTCCTATTTGCTTGTATGGGCCTTATTCGTGCTGAAATTCTTGACAGAATCTCCTTATGCCAGGTGTCGATTTGATGAGAGGTGTTTTACTACGTTGGATGAATAGTCCATCACTCTGTCTAGGCAGGGCACAGATAACCTCAGTGTGTCTCCACAGGGCTCTGTCCACCCCTCTGCCCTGCAGGAATGTCTGCCTTCTTAAGGTGCCCCAAGTATCAGACATGGCACGTGACCTTCCGATAGATGATCCAAGGATCATGCTGCACAGGGAACATTGGAAAAGCTTGATTTCTTCTTAAATTGTTTGGATTCCAGTCTTGGTAGCACCTGAGACACAAAGCTCCATTTAGAGACCATTGCTGTAGGGACAAACCCTCACTCTCCAAATAGCTAAAAGTAACTTCCTGACTCCAAATTCAGATTCACCGAAGACTTTGAAGGATGGCACCTATGTTTATTTATGTTGTTTATATGTTCTATGGCTAATAGTCCATTGTGTATATACATTTTCTTTCTCCATTCGTTCGTTGGGGGGATACCTAGGTTGATTCCATATCTTGGCAATTATGAATAGTGCTATAATAAACATGGGAGTGCAGATGTCTTTTCCACATACTGATTTTTTTTTTCTTTTTTTTTTGAGTCGGAGTCTCACTCTGTCGCCCAGGCTGGAGTGCAGTGGTAAGCTCATGGCCACCACAGCCTTGACTTGTTGGGCTTAGGCGATCCTCCTGCCTCAGCCTTCCAGGTAGCTGGAACTACAGTCATGCCCCACCACTCCTGGCTCATTTTTTTATTTATTGTAGAGACGAGGTCTCACCATGTTGCCCAGGCTGGTCTCGAACCTGCAGGCTCAGGCAATCCTTTCACCTTAGTCTCCCAAAATGCTGGGAATATAGGCGTGAGCTACCATGTCCAGCTCCACATACTGATTTCTTCCCTTTGGATAAATACTCAGTAGTGGAGTTGCTGGGTCATATGGTATTTCTATTTTTAGGTTTTTGAGAAACCTCCATACTGTTTTCCATAGTGGCTGTACTCATTTACATTCCCATCAACAGTGTATGAGTTTCCTTTTCTCTGCAACCTTGTCAACATTTGTTATTTTTTGTCTTTTTGATAGTAACCCTTTTTAGTGGGATGAGATGATATGTTATTGTGTGTTTTGTGTGTATGTGGTTTTTTTTTTGGTTTTTTTTTTTGAGTTGGAGTCTTACTCTGTCACCCAGACTGGAGTGCAATGGCCGCTCCCGGCCACCGCAGCCTTCGACCTGCTGGGCTCCGGCAATCCTTCGCCTCAGCCTTCCAAGTAGCTGGAACTACAGGCGCGTGCTACCACACCCGGATAATTTTTGATTTGTTGTAGAGATGAGGTCTCGTCAAGTTGCCTAGGCGGGTCTCAAACCCGCGGGCTCAAGCAATCCACTCACCTTGGCCTCCCAAAGTGCTGGGATTACAGGCTGAGCCACTGAGCCCGGCCGTATTTTTTTTAATAAGAGGTTCTTGCTATGTTGTCCAGTCTAGTCTTGAACTCTTGGGCTCAAGCGATCTTTCTGCCTCAGCCTTCTAAGTAACTAGTATTACAGGTGTGTATCACTGTGCCTGGCTCATTGTAGTTTTGGTTTGAGTTTTCCTGATGACTTAGTGAGGTTGTGCATTTTTTCATATACCTGTTGGCCATCTTCTTTTGCAAAATGTCTATTCAGATTATTTGTCCATTAAAAAATTGGATTGTGTGTGTTTTTTTAAAATTTGAGTTGCTTAAGCTAATACAAGGAAGTCCCCCCCCAAAATTGGAATTGTCTTTTGGAGGGCGGGCCCTTTGTAGTACAGACTTCCCCTGGTAGGTAAGTGTCCTAGGAACCCATCAGCACCAGTGTGCCAGCATGTGTTGTTGTGAGAGGCTGCATGCAGCTTAAGTGAATTTTGTGTGTGTGTGTGTGTGTGTGTGTGTGTATGTGAAGATTCTTTCAGTATGTTTGCCCATTTCATGATAGGTGATTTACCTATCATGAAATGCCCCTGCCTGCTCTGTGCTGAGTTTTCAGTAGTTTTTGACACCAAAACAGCATAACCCTATGCTCTACCCACCCTGTTCACCCAATCTTACCCCAAGCGACTTTTTTTGTTTCCCTGGATGAAAAAAGTCCTCAAAGAGAAATGTTTTGTGTGGAAGAGGTGAAACAAAACAGCAGAAGCACTAAAAGGCATCAAAATTGACAAGTTCAAAAACTTCGGCAGTGGGAAAAGCGTCTTGATTGGTGTATTGTATCATACAGAGAGTACTTTGGAGGTGACTGACATCTAAATATGTAAGAATAAATACACAGCTTTTTATAAAGAAACTCTGGGGTTTTTTTTGGTCCTTCCTCCCCCTTGTATATTCTGGATATTAATCTCTTTTGAGCTGGATAGTTTAGAAGCAATTTCTCCCATTCTATAGATTGTCTCTTCACTTTGTTGATTGTTTCCTTTGCTGTGCAGAACCTTTTTGGTTTGATATCATCTCATTTGTCTATTTTTGGTTTTTTGGGGTTTTTTTGAGATGGAATCTCATTCTGTCGCCCAGGCTGAAGTGCAGTGGCATGCTCACTACAGTCTCGATCTGCTAGGCTCAGGCTTTCAGGCCTTCCACCTCAGTCTTTCAAGTAGCTGGAACTATAGGCATGCGCTACCATGCCTGGCCAATTTTTTGATTTATTGTAGGGATGAGATCTTGCCAAGTTGCCCAGGCTGTTCTCAAACCTGTGGGCTAAGGCAGTCTCCTCACCTTGGCCTCCCAAAGTTCTGGGATTACAGGCTTGAGCCACTGTGCCCAGCCTCTTCTAGTAGTTTTATAGTTTCGGGTCTTGCATTCAAGTCCTCAGTCCATTTTGAGTTGATTTTTTGCATATGGCAAAAGATAGAGGTCTAGTTTTATCCTTTTGCATATGGATTTCCTATTTTGCCCCTCATTTATTGAAGAGACTGTTCTTTCACTAATGTATGTTTTTGGCACCTTTGTAAAAAATGATTCACTGTAAATGCTGGGATTTATTTCTGGGTTCTGTATTTGGTTCCATGGGTCTGTGTGTCTGCTTTTATGGCACTACCATGCTGTTTTAGTTACTATAACTTTGTAGTATTTTTTTTAGTAGGAGTCTCACTGTCACCCAGGCTGTAGTGCAGTGGCACGCTTATAGTCACCGCAGCCTCAACCTGCTGGGCTCAGGCAGTCATTCTGCCTCAGCCATCCAAGTAGCTGGAACTACAGGCATGCACTACCATGCCTGGCTAATTTTTTGTTTTATCGTAGAGACGAGATCTTGCCAAGTTACCCAGGCAAGGACTCAGGCAGTTCTCTTACCTTGGCCTCCAAAGTGCTGGGATTATAGGTTTGAGCCACTGCACCTGGCTTGTAGTATAATTTGAAGTCAGGTAGTGTGATGCCTCCAGCTTTATATTCTCTTTTTTCTTTTTTTCTGGAAAATCTAGAAAGTTTATTGACTCAGGAGGTGGGACCCTTGTGATAAAGGACAGAGGATCCCAAAGTTGAAGTCTGGCCTGAGAAGCTAAGTGGGTTCTTAGTTTTATGTAGGAAGAATTTAAGGGTGAAATGACAAAGTAAAGTGAAAGTTTATTAAAAGAAAAGAGGAACAGAAAGAAGGCTACTCTATAGGCAGAGCAGCCTCCCTACATTGCTGGAGTTTCTGCTGGAAAATGAAAATAAGTTTATTGAAGTGACAGAGAGCAGGTTACTCTATAGAAAGAACAGCCTGTTCTTTTTGCTCAGGATTGCTTTGGTTATTTGGGGTCTTCTGTGGGTTCATGAGAATTTTAGGATTATTTTTTCCATTTCTGTGAAGAATGTGATTATTATTTTGACAGGGATTGCATTGACTCTGTAGATTGCTTTGAGTATATGGCCATTTTAATAACATTAATTCTTTTTTTTTTGAGTTGGAGTCTTACACTGTCACCCAGGCTGGAGTGCAGTGGCATGCTCACGGCTACCCCAGCATCTACCTGCTGGGCTCCGGCGATCCTTCCACTTCAGCCTTCCAAGTAGCTGGAACTATAGGAGTGCTACCATGTCTGGCTAATTTTTTTTTTATTGTAGAGACGTGATCTCTCCAAGTTG